TACCACTGTCCCGTAGCTCGCAATAGTATAAAAACTTCGATACTTTTACTTTTCGATGAGTAGAGAGGAAATATGAAATGTCTATAATTTCTTTTAATAAAAAATATTAAAAAGAAAAAAAAACGGCAGAAATCAAAGCAATTTTAACAAAATAGAATACTTAATAACACAGAGATATGTTGATTGGTTGCTGTCTCTGGCCAGACTGTAAAGATATAAAAAGTTTTCAGAAATAAATAGGAAAGTCGTGTGAGTGGGTACACCAGATTTTTTTTATTTTGTATGGATACATTTGAAAATACGTTATTCAAGTAATTGGATATATTACACATTTTTATTTTTATTTAAGGTTTTTGAGGCAGTGAGATGAGCCAAAGTCACATTTTCCGCCGGAAATGTAATAAAATCTTCACGTATAATAGAAGAGAGCATATGAATGAATCATAAAATCCCAGAATATGTTTCTACATATAATTTTCTATGAACATAAACTAAAATTTCAATAATAGAAACATAGGTCGCGCTAAAGCACTTGCATACATACTTTTAGACCTTAGCTCTAACTATTTAAACGACTGTTTATTTTCTTAATTGATTTTAGTTTACATAATTTATTCATTAATGTAGATTGATTGTTATTGATTTTATATTAATTTTATTCTTCAAAAGATTGAGAGGAGGGCGAAGCGATCGTCCCTCGTCCCCTCCCCGCCACCCGACCTCTGCTTCTATACATCAAAATAACACTCACCCTTTCATATGTCAAAAATAGTTCCTTTAAGTACATAATTTTTTGATCTCAAAGAGATATTTCACCAAGTTCATCAAAACATTTAGTGGTCAATTTTTCTAAAAATGTTTCTTCAGGATTCAACCCCTGAAACACTAAAAAAGGAAGAAAATGTTTATATATAATTCTGGCCCTAAGCGCCATTTTATTGCACTCCGTTCTGATGTAAATTATTCCTGCACAGTTAAGCCTTAGCCATAGTGAAATGGTTAATCAGACATTGTTAAAGAACTATGATGTTCTAAAACCCAAGTAAACAGCCTGGTGGAGGAAGTATGGGAAAAAGTAGAGGCCAAGAAAAATCAGGATCATTTTGAACATGAGCCCACATCTTTAAGCATAATATAATTTTCGTCTTAACCAGAATTATTTTCTTTTTTCAATCCTACAATACATAACTCAAAAATGGCATCTTTTTTCTTTTCTTTCATTTATAATTTTATTTTCATTTCTAAAATTAATCATGTCCACAAATTTTTACTTTTTTGGTTTGTATTTACAATTTTTAAAACAGTTGTTTCACAAATGTTTAATTTAAGTAATCCAACCCTTATACAGTCTACACTAATTAAAACATAAACCAATCCAAAATTACACTTTTGAGATCAATGGGTAATATTTGGCTCACACCAAACTACCGTGATCATACAATGTTACTTAAAGACTTTTCACTATAAACCGGCGCTATATTTACCCATATAAACAACTTTTAATGGAATTTCAAAATTATTATTACTTTTTTAAATGGCTCATATTTTGTTCATTCGTGCTCTAGCAGCCCAACAAAAATTGCCCATTTTGTATTAGAGGTTTTTTAGAAGAGCAGTAACGCAGCTTTACAACGGTTATAGTTAAATTTGTGACAAACCCAAGTTCAGAAATGTGTTTCTTTTTTAAAATGTCTATATATTTTTTGAAGTTATTTTTTATTTAAAAGACGCCAAAAATGACTTACTCTTTTATGACAACAATTTACCTCACCTACTTTACTCTAAGCAACATTAGGTTCGTGTAATTTCTTATAAGTATTTTTTATATTTACATGATATTTACAAATGTATTAAAAAAATACATCGAGTAAATTTGTACAAATGAATATTATGACATGAAAACACTTTTTGGGAAACTAACCACTCTAATATTTCTATATTAGGATATCAACAGACCATCTTCTTTTCGTCCGTTTCGGATGGTTATCAGGAATTGAAGAGGAATCAAGGTTAGAAACGTGAGGATCGGGATGGTTCTGAAGTTATTTATGGAAGGATATATATCTGAATTGGGCAAAATCTGAAACTTAAGGAACATTAAGGAAAATTATGGATGTTTTTATTTGTAACAAAGCAAGGATCTTTGAGGATTTTACGAAGGATTTTGGATTCTAAGGATTGGATACGAGAGGAATTACATGGTTTAGTGGAGTCCCATAGCTCAACTCCGTAAGTCCAAATATGCCTTATTACAGTCATGCATATGAGTCTTTGTAATTAAATGGGAGCTTAGTGTTTATCTAGCAAGTTCTGAAGTAGATGGAAACGTCGAACGGTTTCTTGAAATTTCATTCTGGTATGAGGATCTTATGAATTTGAATTAATTTATTACAGTCAGCAATATTTATTTTTTATTTTATATAACAAAACGAATAGGTAAATAATAATGTATAAATCTATGTTGATCAAAGACAGAAAACAATAATATAAAAAGATGAGGAAATTATATTTCTTGTTTTTCTCGACCTCTAGGAAATATTGTTTATAATACTCGGACACAGGTCTAGTATTTTTCGACCTAATATCACTAAATAATAATTAATTAAAATCAATGATCCAACGTCCCTGACCTCCCCTTGTATGAGGGAAAAATACTCAGGAACCTAACCCGCATTACTCATAAGTGTTTCGTTTTGTGTAGTTTAATTACTTCAGGCTTCTACTGAGCTCAACATTGAGCCAAAATATATTAATTTCATTTCTTGATTCTGCACGCAAGTTAAAATGATAAAACGGGCTTTGTTGTTGCTGATAATATTAGCTTTGGTAGAAAAATATAACAAGATGAATATTACTTGCAAGAGATACTTTAAAATACACAACAATCACAGAATTGGACAATTTATTGAGCTTTTAAACCGATTCAGAAAACAAAAACTTTTACATTTGTCTCAGAAAACAGTGTAGATTTAATAACTAAAAACCTTTCGTATATATTGGTGTGGTGTATGTATGAATTAGAACTAGTTTTCTTATTGCTCCAGAAAAAAATTATAATCCCTAAAGATATCTATAATTTGTTGTTAGTATAGCTGTCTTAAACAGACATACTCAAATAATTTAGGAGACTCACTGGTCAGTTTATCAGTTTTCTCATAGTTTGGTGTATCTGCATGTTCATTTGGGCTCACCGAGCCCAAATTCCTCAGTTCCTTTATGATATTCATCAAGTCAACAATTTATAATAAAATTACAGACTATGTAATAAAGTTAATTGTAATAAACTACTTACACACCAATGATTAATCTGTTCTTAAGGTTCTTGCAATAAAAGTCTGTGTGCAGACAACATTTACTTTAAATAAGAAAATATGCTAAATTTATTTATACTGCAAGTGCCTGCTCCTGAGATTTATTCTGTTAAACAATTAATGTCGTTATTAGGTCAGTGTGATTTAGGTGGTTAATAACGTGGTTAATGGATCTACTATAAAAATCAGTACCTGCTAATTAAATCTAATGTGGGTCAAGACCATCCTAGTGTTACTCTATGGGAGTGGTATTCAGAGGGATATGATATGACACATTTTATATTTCTCAGGAAGCTTTGTTACAATTTATTTATACTTTTTCATTACAGGTCTCTGGGCTCAGAAATGGTTCCCCAGAAAACAAGAGGCATTTAAAAAGTGAGCCATTTTATGCGAGTTCTTTCACTAGGCCAGGGGTGCCCATAAGGGGGTTTCATGGGACAAGTTACGCCATCAAAATTTTTTGGGTGGGCATATTTTGAATTTTTTAAGACAAATTTCGATGGAGTTATGAATTTTCGAACTATGGTAAATTGGAAAAATATAGAACATACCGCAGCAAGTGTAACTGTGTAAGATCTACAATATTTCTAATTTTATCTTAGCTTCTTCTGTTTTTAAGAAAAGGAGAGCAATAAAATATCTTGGGAGGAGGGTAGAGGGTAGCTTCTTGCGCCATCGATCTTGGGGGGCACTAGGCTAAGATGGAAACTGAGTAACTGTTAAGGAGTTTGAATCACACATTTTATGTTTGTTAAAGAACAGTGCTTCCGTATTAATTACTTAATCAAAGACCATTCAGGGATTATAAAGAAATAGATATTTTTATTTTTAATTTATTTTTTTATAGCAAATAGAAATATATGACATTTATTGTAGTCATGTAATAATACAAAAGTGAAAAAATTCAAAAAGAGACATAAATTAAATGTTAGTTTATCGAAAAATCCTAAACAGAAAGCCTTGAGATTATAGAAATGTAACTGTTCCTGTGTTACCTCCTTTTTCTTTCAGTACGTGTTTGGATGGCATAGAGTGAAGTTTTTTTTTAGGAATATTGATATGTTGTATTTGGGTTGCATATATGTTATTTAGGTTGTTACTGTCCTAATTATACTGCAGAGAGTCATGACTGTGTGTTTGGAATTTTTCCAATTATCTACTGACAATATCGTGTAGGATAATGTTAATTCATCTTTCTTTTCCAAGCTGATGTATATAAAAATGTTAAACCTAGATAAAAAAAATAGTATTGTCAGTATTTGAATGTAAGTGATTTGAGGATCCTCTTCTCGAGCATTGCTTCTGAACAAGACAGAGATCAGTGTATTCCAGCAGTAAATATATACACCAGTATAGGGAATGATATAAGAAGGTGGATGATAAAAGGTGTCATGAATAAATAATATTTTGATAATAATTCACTAGAGAATAATAGTTCACCAAATCATTACTTTGTTTTTCCTCAAGAGATTCAATTCAATCTAACAGGCTTGATATTGAAGGTTTTTCAGATTATTTAATTTCAGATGTGTAAAAATGTGATTTGATATCCCAATCAAGAATTTTTTAAAGTGTGTAAATACAATTTTTTAATATTTAATATTTTATTATTTCCTTTTGGGATATAACTAATTATAAATAAGAGGATATAACGTGAAAGGAAAATGAAATAATATACACAAGATGTCACTAAGAATGCTGAAAACACATTTTAATATAAACTTAAAAACTTCAACTTTAGTACAATATGAAAAATTATATAATATATACATATATAATATTTTTTACACATTTATACACGATTATAAACTGTGATTATAATTTATTTTACTAAGACAGCTTTTATAAAATGTATATCTAAAGATTAAAATTAAAACACAAATATAATTAGAACTAATCACACCTGAGCAAAAGCAAAGCAGCTTTTTTCAGGGGACATATGTTTGTAGCATAAACAATATATATCCATAGCCTTCTTCTACTTATTACATTTGAGGCATTTGGTAGTTTCAATGAAATACCGCTATAAAACTCTTTGCTGTGACGCTGGAGTAATGAATCAATAAATATTGTTTTTGTTTTGAAAATTAACCATATTTATTATTATAGATACTATAAATACAAACACCTATCATCACTATTGAAATCAGTATGTCTATATTTCAGAACTGTTTGGACAATGCGCTTGACCATCGGTAATTTGAAGAACATGAAGAGTGACAACTATAATCTATTATAGGTTTTAGCTATTACAGCTATGTAAAATTATTTTAATAATTGCTTTTTTTCATTTAATTATTAAGGAAAGAGTAAGAAGCACATTAAGAAGGTTTTACATTAGTATTCACATTTAGACAAAAGTTTTGAAAACATAGACATCAATAAAAATATGTTAACATTCACAGATGGTAATTTATTTATTTTGAGCCTTAGTTCTATGTTGTGTAAGCAATATTTCCAATTGTCGACAGGAACCTTCACTCATAGCCCTCATCAATTAAGAATTTTTTAAATCTTCCTGCTAAACCATCTAATCAATTTCCTAATTCTATAGACCATGTTTCAAAGAAGAAATTATCATTTATTATATTAATCATATAATGAATGAAATTAGGCGCTTTACTTTGGGCTAAAACTAATACTATGAAGGGTGAACTAAAATCACAGTGTTTCTAATTATAAAATGCTTTAATCTGTTGGAAATGGTTAATAATTTTAGAGTATGCTATGAAGTTAAGTACAATCGTTATATGCCGAGATGACTTTTTTATTATATAGTTTTAGCAAACATTACACTTGTCATGACTAGCTGTGCTAATTACAAGTGTCACTTTTCCTTTTTTGAAACAAAACAATGAAGGTTCCTTTAACAAGAACTTATATTTTTTAACAAGTAATTCCTTTAAAATTCATTTATTTTTTAGTCTGGATGTTACACTTATCTTTTTTGGTCTCTAGAAATGTTTTCTTCATAAGCTCTCTTTCGTTGTTAATCTCTATTAGAGGAATTCACCTATTTTTTCATAAATATCAAGTTTTATTTTATTGAACGAGTTGTCAAATTGAGTTGTAATGAATTTTTTGTTTTCTTTTTTCTTTTCTTTGACAATTACATTAATTATTCAACCAAATGTAACGAGTAAGAAGGTCTTATTTTGAATATACACATTGTATTGATATAGTCACGCTGTGGTCTCCACTTAGGCCGATGGCTTTCTGCTCATGTCTGCCTTATACTTGACAATCGATCAAGAAAAGGTAGACAAAGAACAAAGCACACTTGAGAATATTGGAATGACCACTCTTTCAAATTAGATTAAAATTTATCCCTATCATGTCAATATAGTTTATCTCACATTTTGGATTGGGACTGAGTGAAAACAGAGATGTAATTCATATCAAATGCCAACTTGATGGATGTCTTTGAAATTTCTATTTTCTTATCAAATTATAAAACAGGTACATAGCTTAATTTTAGTTTAGGACTACTATTTTATGTCTCAATCCAAAATATTTTGGTAATAGTCTAAATCGCTAATACACACTATGGCTAGATAAAAATATAAAAGTGCTTTCTTACCCATATGCTTAAGTATTGATCTTCAACCACTTTTTTCATATAAATAATAGTTAATTAAAAAATAATAATAGATTTATATGTTATTGACATTAGTATTTTCAGTGGGATTTTTGACTGATCTTCAATATGTGGACACTAATTAATACAAATTCATCAAAATATCCAATTTTAGTCATTAATCATAAAACTACTGAAAACGAGCAAAATAAAGCAAAACACAAAAAACCAAACATATAAATTTATTTCAAAAAAATCAAAAGATAAAAATACATTATACAAAAATAATAACAATATGCTATTAGAACTAGTATTTATTAAAATAAAAAATATATTTATGTATAAGATATAAACAAAACTAACTATATAGATGTACACCATTATAGTGATAAGTGAATTTTTCTATAATTTTTATCTACATGGATGTTTAACAATCCCCTAGGTAACTTTAACACCGTATTGGTCTGATTCAAAGAAACAAAAAAAAAAAAAATAATAAAAAATAATGAACGTTCATTGTATCAATCATAATAGAAAATATATATATATTTTATTAGCATACATATACAACACATCTGATGCTGAGGAATGTTCTAAATTAATATTGAAAATATTTACTAACCGTAATCAATACACTGACTAAATATATTGTAAACAATTTCATTTTATCACATATATGAAAAAAAGTAACTTGAGTGACTAGTAATATAAGCATCCTTTAATTACAGATAAGTTTAAAATATTCAATGTTAATTATATCAAGTATTTATAAATATGTGGCAGCATTGTTAGATGTTATCTACAATGAACGCTCTTAAATTAATACACACCGCACATGATGAGTTACACCAATTTATATTACACTAAACTAGAAAATTTTCACATCAAAAAGGACATCGGAATTAGCCTAGTGATATTCAAAAATAGAAAAGCTTCTAAAATTCCTAGTATAAAATATATAGTACGTAATTTTTAATATAACAAAAATTAAAATCAGTGATAAAAGGAACACAACCACAAAACAATGTAGTTTACACTAAATTATCTTATTCTAAGTTTATAAAATGTTGTCACAGTACAAAAATACTAAAGTACAAATATTCATTTTCATTGATGAAATTAATATTCATATCATACCAATTTTCCATGCATGATTAACATAGTGCAAAAACTCTGTTTAATAAAAAATATATATATGTATAATCATATATATAACTATAAATATGTATGTATGCCTAAGATTACATACATATTTATGTACATACATATGAGATAAATGTTAAGAATCTAGTTGTTAACAATCACATTGATATAAAGAACATGCAAAAGGATAGAAGCAGGATATTTTCCTGCTGGCTTTTATGTTTCTGAAGAAACTGGCCAGATAACCTAGACAGTAAGTAGTCTTACATGATGCTTACATAAAGAGTACAAAATGTTATTGAATTATAGCCCTAAATCTATTCATGTTTCAAAACCACTATCTATTTAGAGATAAATAACAAAACTAATTTACCATGAGAGAAAACTCATCATCATAAATTTTTTTTTGTAAAACTACGAAGATGCAGCAAATTTGTAGACATGTGAAGTTATTAAAAGGAATTTGAAATTCCATTAGATAGAAATCTATCTCTAAAAATTTACTTTTGATCTTCGCATAATATACATATATGTATATATGTATAAATACACATATACATATATGTATATACGTATTTATATACATATACATATATTTATAATATAAACTAGCCTCTAAAATGTAAAAGTATTGTAACCGACAGTATAAAAATATTGAAACGAGTTTGTCTACAAAAATGGTTTAACAATTTTTTTTTTATTTCTTAGTTTTTTTATTTATAAAAAGTAATATAAAATATTCAACCAAAAAAATATAAAATGGCAACTTGCCTATCAAACATTTCCATATAAAATAATACAAAAGATGAAAAATTAAATAAATATAAAAAATCTATTATGTACTTTAATACTTTCACCTTGATAAGAAAAGTTCTGGGGATATAATACATGAAATCATATCAATACTGCTGCATTGAAATATTGTGGGAAGAACCTTCTTTTACACATTTTCCTATTTTTTTAAAGTTTTAATTTTTTTTTCAGTCAGTTTAATGAAAAAAGTGATCATAGTGAGAAAGCATCAAAAGGATATGACCGAAAAATCAGGGGAGTACATAAATAATGATTTTTTTTTTCATTTTTTTCAGGTACCGCACAATTCACTAGGTAGGATGTTGGGGTTTGGTATTGATGAGGTAAGACAGGGAAATGCAGGGACCCCCTTTGACTAGCTGAATCCTGGCACTTTCTTTATTTGTCTTCTATCACTTCCCTCTATCTACAATGCTTAACACTTCCCGCATCTCTTACCAAGCTCATTAATCACAATAACAGAATGAGATAAACAAAATCGATAACATTATATTCATTTTTACAGTGCGTGAAAAGTACGCTATATACACCATTCAACATAGTATTCCGATTAATACTATAAAATTTCACTAAAATAATTCAACTATTCTGTATGTATGAAAAATAAATTATTTAATTATAAAAAATCTAATTCAGCGTTTTAGCCTTTTTCCATTATTTTTAGTATAGATTTTGTAAAATGGCTTTCCATCGAGCTCCAGGTGAGGGAATCATTAGGGCAGCCTTTTAGGGCTTCTGGTCTTCACCCTTATAAAGCTTCCACATGCTTTCCTATCAGTTTGGATGGGGGTGCTGCCTTTTTCTTTCTTTTTTTTTCCAGACAAACATTCTCGCTTCTGTCTTATAGTCTCTTTGGCTTTTCTAATCAATCTTTCCCATTTTTTTTGTTGGTTTTTAATATATTTTTAACCTAACCTTCCCATTGGATTAAGGTCCTTACATTAATTACAATTGAGAAGAAATAAAATTGAGATATTTAAACATTAATAAGGCCATATATAAAGCAACATTTATCCCTCAAAGCCCGAAAAAATATTGAACTAAGGCCAGAATCACAGTTGAAGGCAACACAACATTTGGAAAGTTTAAGGATGAGATCCACATAATAATTTCAATTTTTTTTTCTTTTTTCAATATGACTTACCTATACTTAATAATAGCAAAGGTACATTTTTTTTTTCATTTTTTTAAATAGGTTCTTAGTTGCAACTCAATCTTTGGATTTGTAACCAAGTCATTAAATTTAAAAAAATAATAAATAAATAAAAAATAAGTGGCAAGTAGAACTTTTTAAGTCACATTAAAATATCACCTTATGTACCGCAATAATATCCGGATATTTATTTGAAGATTTAAGTAGAAAAACACCATTTGACAGCTTAGTGGTTTATGCATTACAGAAGAATATGAACATGTTAGGAATGAAAAATTAAATTTACAATAAGCTAATAGAAAAATTACCATTTTCGGTTTTCATGATACTTCAGGTGATATTCATACTTATTTTTTTTTGCAGGAGCATAAAGCTGTTTAAGCTATAAAATGTATAAAATCATTTATAAAATTAAAAAAATTTCACAGGACTAGTTTGAATAAAAAAATTAGTCTGTCTTGAGATATGGGCACATGGAAAAGGAAGATGGGAAGATGAGAAGACGGTATCAGTTGGGCTATCTAAGTCTTGATTTAGTTGGCGACGAGGAGATGCTGGAACTGGCTGGGCGAATACCCAGCTGAGAAACTTGCCAGTGAATCAATAAGCTGTTGCTGCTTGCTGGTCGATCCATCGCTCGACTGGCTGCTGCCTTGCTGACCACCTGTTGGAGTCCCTCCAGTGTAATATGGATCTAGGTACGGAAATTTGTGATAGATCTCCGATCCTGGGTAGCCATAATATGGCGGATAGAGGAAGTCATGAGGTGGAGAGAGGGAGCGACCAGGCGAGCCAGGGTGAAGGCTATGGTGCCCAGCACCGGCTTGCTGTTGTTGCATCGCACGCTGCTTGATATAGTTGGAGAACTCCGTAGGAGACATCCTGGAAAATCACAAATTCTCAACATTAGCTATCAAACTACAAATTAATAAAGTTTTATATTATAACATAAAAAAAAGTGGTAGTAAATTAAAGCTATCACACAATTCCATCATGTAAATTGATTGTAGTATGATTTTGTTTTTAATCTAAAGCCAATGACAAGATATGATTACAACTTCATCTTGGTAAGTTAATAATTTAGCCATATTAATTACTTCAATAGGAGCTAATATTTTTTTTTATATAATTGCAATTAAATAAAACTATTAGTCAATGTAAAAGTCATAATGAAAGTGTTCTAGAAGCAAAGAAATTCAAAGCATTCATATCATTAGGATGTAGTTAATTAAACTATAAATTAATTCATTGTTTAGTTAATGACCACGTCTTAATAGGGAAAGAGTAATGCACAATGACTTGGAAGTTTCATTGAAATTTGTAATTACATGACAAAATAAATCAAGATAATAGATATTTATAACAATATTGGGTATTATCTAATTAGGTTATACAAATAACTCTATCTAAAACAAAAAATGATGGTTTTGATAGAAATATTGTTTGTACTGCGACACATTAGTTTGTATCATTCTGTGTAAAAGGACTATGTTTATTTAATTCCAATCATGGTTCATTTTTTATAAATAAATACCAGAACAGTTATTAAAAATAATTTCATTTAATATAACTTTACAGCGTGTTTACTATAAGTTTTTTAGATAAGTATGTGTGATTATATGGGCTTATCATTATTATTTTTTAAACTATAAAAGTAACGTTCCTTTGAAAATAACCTAAAATAGCAATGAGGATTTTTTTGCTCAAATAATATATTTAACTTAAATTAAATATTTAATATAGCAGAAATATACCTGTTTGCCCTCTTGCTATTGGTCTTCAGCTTGGTGCTACCGAACTTGGTCTGGGCAAAAGTGGCCGTGGTGAATGTGAGAGGTGCTGTAGTCCTGGGAATGAATGTAGATGGGCTGGGAGATGCAGGAGCCTTGAAGGCCGGAGAGACCTCCTGGGACAGGGGGGGCGACCCCTTGGGGCTGAGGCTCAGTGCGCCCAAGCCAGCCTCTATCGGCCTGAAGCACTGCGCCTCCGGGTTGAAGGTCTTGATGACTTCCCTGTCTGCATTGGCCTCTTCGTGCACGTCGTTGGCCTCATTGTAGAGGACTTTGATGGTTCCCTTCTCGCCGATCCTGTAGGAGACCTCACCAGGGTCGACCCAGACAGCTAGATCGGCTGGCAGGTTCTCCAAGATGTCCTGGATCAGGACTCCACTCTCTCGCGCTGCCCTCTCGAATACCGCGTCTACTGGATCTCCGGTTTTCAAACATCGGAATGCGGATCCTTTGAATGGCTTTTCCGGATACCAGTGCCCCCTGAATTTTTCTTTAAGTGCCTTTTCGAGCTCTTCTCCGAATATGTTGACCCTCCTCCTCGGCAGTTTGTTGTAAAGGTAGGAGATGACAAAGTTTAGCGCTACTTGTACTTCTATATGCATCTTGTCTCTCGGTTGAAGCTTAAGATGTTTCGCATATAACGGGATCACCAAGTCCCGCTTCGTATTTCTCGATTCGATTCTAGCCTGCCCTCGCCTAAGCTCTCCCCAATGTTCACTCCGATCTGAAAAATAAAAAAATAAAAGTTATTAGTACAAATTTGTATCTTATATATGCTATAAAAAATTTATGAGAAAAGATAATTCAGTTATTAAAAACAAAACAGCTGATCAATACTACATGGATAAATGAAAACCATGGCAATCGAAAAACTATTTTTGTTAACGAATCACATAAGTACTTATGTAAAAGCTACTAATGTTAGTAGCAAAATCATCCTTTTAGGCTATATGGGCTTTTTCCTGTGCCAAGGAGGAGGACGAAGGATTAATGCCTCAGTTAAAAGCCCCTCCGGCACGGGATGCGAACTCTTAATTATGCTATCGATCTGTCAGGTTGCCGGGTAACGCGTGTTTTGCACAGGCGTTATACCGCACGGCTACCCAGCTCCTCGGGCTCATTTTTTTTTAACTATTAATTTTATTTGTGGCGAACACTTAAGGATCGGACTGTTAGTTCTTCGTTTTCGTTACAGGTGGCGTTTGCCCTTTACTAGCCCTGGACCTGACGATAGCCGAAGTGGGCGTGGATAGAAGATGGATTACATAAATAGCGATCCTAGTAGGGTGAGGCTGTGACATTTAGCTGGAGGACTTGTTACCAACAGCCACTGCCATTTCCAAATGCAAACTAGATGTCGCAACCAGGTCAGATTGGGTGGATCCCGCTCCTAATACAACCCTAATACAATCCTCGCTATTACAGGCCTTATCCAATGTCGTAGTAATTGAGAACCTCCTAGCGCACTGCAACAAAGGGGATACTTGTCCCTCTGTGTGACAATAGAAATCATTTAATATTATGAGATGATGATATTTATTTGGAAATATGTAATATAAAACACTTTTACTAACTGTTGACTTTAATATTTTCGGCATTCTTGTAGGAAAAATAAATCATATGACACTAAAATCGCGGTACAGACACCATTTAACCAAATTATCAACACTCGTCTAAAACTTCGTCAGTGGCTTCATTTCATCATAACCTACAAATTTATTTATCTGTGAAAATTCTCTGAAATATAACATACCCAATCTGGAGCTCCGTAAAATGTAATGAGTTAAAAATTATTATTATTATTATTTTTTTTTATTAACGAAATTTACAACTGTAATTAATAATAAATACAACAAGTAAATATGAACAAGTAATATGACATGTACAACATGAAGAGAAACTACCCATTGGTAGCACTCCAATTATATTTCTATATTAGAAGGTCCCGAGGCCATCTTCTTTTCAGACGCCTCGGAGGGTTATCAGGAATAGAAGAGGAAGCTAGGCTGGAAACTAGTGGGTTCCGATGGTTCAGAAGTTTATTATGAAAGGACAGGTATCTGGATTGAGCTAAATCGGAAACATATGGTACATTAAGGTCATTATGGATGATTTTATTTGTGACAAAGTAGGGAGCATTAAGGATTTTACGAAGGATTGGATACGAGAGGAATTTGATGGTTTAGTAGAGCCCCAAAGCTCGATCCCGTAAGTCCAAATAGGCCTTATTATAATAATATATATGAGTCTTTTGTAAATAGTTGGCAGTTTGGAGCGTTTGTCTAGTAAGTGCTGGAGTAGTCGGAAACGTCTGGCGGTTTCTAGTCGTTTCAGTCTGATATTGGGGTTCCAAGTGAGTCGTTTGTCAAGGTGGAGTCCTAGGTATCGGATTTGGTCAACAGGGATAAGTGGGGTATTGTTAAAGGATACTGTAGGACAGGAAGTCATAGGTTTACGACGAAAAATTATTATTAAATCCGTAATATTTAATAAGGAACTAAAAACTCACGAATGACCATTGGCTTTAAACTTGAATCGTAATATATCAAATTATTTGATCACAAAATCAAGAAAAAGGTGGCCTACAAAAATATCGGGCCTTTCGGTGTGATCTCAACCTCAAAGATGTCAAAATAACAAGGTTATTTAGACTCAATATTTTTGTTGGTATTCCTTTTCCTTGATCCAAGTTCCAATAAAGATCCAAGAAAGCAAATAGGTATTTATGAGTTTGTAGAAATTAATTAATTGAGAAAGCGCTCCATTTGTTAGAATTTTCGCAGAAAGTTGTAGATTAAAATAAGATGAAGTTTTACTATTCACGAAGTTTTAAATGAAAAAACAATTTAATAAAAAGGGGTCTATCCCACGGACTAACTTATCCACCCATATTTTCCGGTTTTTGTAACGTAGTTTAAATAAATTTTATAAAATATCTAATAAAGTCGACTTTGCTTAAAAATGAAAAATTATTATAAATCTTTTGATGTAAAAGTTAATAAATTAGTTTTTAAGTAGTTTGTATTTTTTATGTTTAGATCATAAGTTTGGGAATAAAATTGCTTGACAGGTAATGCATTGGACTCCTAACTCCCAGTCCAGGTTAGAATCTAGCTGTGGTAGATAATTTATTCATTTTTCTTTTTTAGCCGCGGATCAACTCTGCGTTTTGGAAATCTTCTAGGGGTCAATTTAGCCTCGAAAGAATACCTACTTCATTGGTTACAAGATAAACCTGGTGCAAGAGTGTGTGGATATTGAGAACACCGTCGCTCTAGATAATAGTTGGGTAAAAAATAGTAAATTCTTATCAAGTACACCAAGATTCTTACGTCTTTAATTATATTTTTAATATGATATTATTAAACATATGTGCATGATAAACTTCATAATATGAAACGTGCTGCATAATAAATAAACTTGTTAAGAATCATGTATTGTAGAGGTGACTCTCATATTTTTGTTTAAAGGGGTAAGATTAATATATCTTACTACTTCTAAGAAAATTAAAATTGAGTCTCTAATCACATAAAAATATTTTATTATTAGCCAACGCCCATTTCTGGCTATAGAGCCAATTTGTGACGCGCTGACCGATATAGACTTCATAATTATTTTTTCTACTGATCCAAAGCTCTGTAGAATCCCGTGTTGTTTGCATTTATATTTTTGTGGCTACGAATTTGACCTGCTGTAGAAGTCATCTTTATATACAATACGATAGTTTTTCGAAGCGTAAATTCCTTTTCTGGCAGTTCCTTTTCTGAGGAGCAATGTATTTTGATGAATAAGGAAGGTATCAAACGAAAGAGAATTTCATGGAGAAGTGAAGGATTATAATTACGTCCTCCAGAAATTTCAGAAAAATAATTTACTAAAGAAAAGAATTTTTATTTGCGATTTTTATTTCAAAGATTAATAAATACCTTCAAAATCAAAATCGGATAGTTATCAGCAAAGATATACAGCCTACAGTAGTGTACACGTTTTTGTTTATTATTATGAATTAACTAATGTGATTCGACTGAGAAAAAAGAAATTATTTCCTCTACCTCACAATATATTGCATTAACTCATTTTTATATTATATTGTTAATAGATCACTGACTAATTTACAATGTTAGTTAATTGCACGGGCCAGCTAGTATAAAAAAAAAAGTAAAAATATCTCAGAAATCAATGCTTAATTTAGAATAGAACAATGTCACATTGAACGCAAGAGGAGTCAATTACATACAATCAACTTTAAAACATTTAATAATTTAAGTTAAAATTTTGTAAGCAAATAAAAATAATAATAGTGAAGTTTTTCTTTGAATAGTACTTTTTTTTTTAAAATTATATATCTTGTGGTACCAATGCGTAAATTCTCTACAAGTGTTTTCATGTCATTTTGTATTCATTTTTTAACAGATTTATTTGATGTTTAGTTTATTTGCATACAGTTGTAAATTTCATGAATAAAAAAAAAAAGAAAAAAAATATATCTAATGTTTTTAGAGTGAACAGTGCTAATAGTCGAAAAAGAAATAGAAACATTTATTATTTGAATGGTACAGTAAAAAAATAAAGAAAGAGGTATTTTTTTGTTTACCCTTTCAAGAGAAAAGATAAATCACATAAATAATATATATACATACGGAATACATAAAATATGAACGAATATATATGTGCGTGTGTGTTTTCATTTATTGTGCTTAAAAATAAATTAATATGAATATTGCAAAATATTTGTTTCGGTATTTAGTGGGACGAAGATAGAATAGTACAGCGCTATATCAAACTGTGACCTATATATAGATCTGACTGGAGCATTCCTTACTACTTCTCTGTTTACGTTTTGCATTAGTTGCATTTTTTAAAAAGGCGATTTGCCTCAAAATTTAACTATAGAGAAATTAATTAACAAAGATTTGTTATAACTTTTTATGAAAGTTGCATATTATTTAATTAAAACCTTACTAGTTGTACCTTAACTTTAAGGAAAAAAAAAAACTTGACATCTTAGGATTTCTTCTAGAGGCCATCAGATGACATGAGATTTTCTGAAATTGTAATATTGAAAAAAAAAAAAAATTAAGTTGAAGAAAACTTGTCGATCATAAACTGTACAATAACACAAGTGTGATTCCCGGCGGGGAATCCCCATTTAAAATAGCACTGTTTAATTTTCCAGGAAAGATTCCAGCATATTTAAAAGGTGATGTTTTTCTCCATCGCAGTACATGTTTTTCATACATCTATGCATATAATCACATTAAAAAAATGAAGTTTTATTATTACTATTCACTTGCTACATGCCGTATATATACAAGTCTGCCACTCATCTACGGCATACGGCATTCAAAGGCATAAATAAGTTAGAGTATTAACTTTCAATAAACGAAATTTATTTCAACAGCTTGAGTCATGACAACATCAATTCACAGTAAAGTCTAATTTTTTTTAATAATTCCATATTTTCTCTGTTAAATGATGGTAATTCTTATTTTCTAGCATTTATAGAAACGGAGATATGAGTTTTTGAAAATGATACTAAACTTTTCCCAAATCGTTCTGTCCTGACATCCAACATTAAATAAAGTAATTCTAAGTTATATTTAATTAGAATAAAAAATACCTGTCATATACATCATTAATTCGTATCCTCCAAAAGCCTTTAATAGCAATACTGTATTTAATTTGTTATTTTGATTACTTTAAGTTTCTTTTTGTTTATATAAATTTATTTCTTTTTGATATTATTATTTAATTGATTGTACATAGAATGTGATGGAACTACTCTATCACTATTACCTAAGGTCCTTTACTGTGACAAAATGTAATATTAACCAATTAAAATTTGTTTGAAAAAAATAGCTAATATTAATAATTCGAGATATTAAATTAATTTATTAGTAATATTAAAGAGACCTATTACAGTGTTTTAATTAAGTGTGGGACAAGAGAGATGTCAAAATATAAATATTCATATCAATTGACAATCAAACGACTGTTTGAATTCAATAAGAAGTTTTTAATTTAGAGTTAATTTGAATATCTGTTTTAATAATGTACGTCAGTAGTTAGATATTAACATAACCTGCAAACGAATTAAAACCGAAGACCACATGGCTATATGTGCAGTATCAAAGGATATATATTGGCTGCCTTTGTAGAAAATAGATAATAATAATAAAAATACATATAATTAATTTCAATTTAATATATAATATTCAGTTTAAATTGTTACTGTGGTTGAATAAAAAAAACAAATAAATAATCAAGAATAAAACAGCATTTGTTAAATCCTTTTATATTCAAATATGTAAGAAATGGAAGAATTTAACTTGTCAAATCTTTTTAATGATTTTACGATTTTATTAAATTTAAATTATTTTTAAATTTCTATTCATACTTAAGTGTATGCCTTAAGGGCAGTTTAATAAGAATTAAAAATAGTTTTTGTTAATTTTTTATTGAACGTTTCGGGGTATCTGTGACCTCCTCTTCTACAATATTTTATTCTACCAACAAATTGAATAAGTCACAATTTTATAATAAGTTTGGTACAATGGAATGGCTGATTTTCAACTGACTGATTTTCAGTGGAAAATCAACCATTGCACCAAACTTATAATATTATTGCGACTTACCCAATTTTTTGGGAGAATAGAATATTGCTGAAGGGGGGAAGGCAGATTCCCCGTAACCTTCAACAAAAAAATTATTTGTGATAGTTATAAAACTGAGCCAAACACTTACGTATGAATAGGAAATAAATATAAATATAATTATACATTATTTATTTATTTATGTATGTATCTCATTATAATTAATCAATTGTAAGGTTATGGACTAAAATAGAAATTTCAACTATCCTAATGTAATTATTGTACTGTTAATACTTTTCATAAAACATGAAAACAAACCTAACGAGGAACAGGAATACAGAACTGGTTTTAAATCGATTATCTAACTATTTCATATCTCGTATTATTCGAAATCGATTGTCGTAGGAATAGAAACAGTAAATAATTAATGAAACGATGCATCTACAAATATCGATTTCTTACAAGGTGAGTCAATATTTTAATTTTATTCTTTCTAACAAACGATAATTTATTTACAATATTGACGAGTAGTAATTTTTATTTATTTATTTAGAAATATAATAATATGTCACGTGGACAATAATTATAGTGAGATATGAACTGAGTTCTAATAGGTATATTTTAAGCAGTGGAATTTTTTTTCTTAATATTTTTTTTTTAGGGGAAGTGTTCCCTTTTTCCCTTTCTGTGGATCCTTCAGTAGCGAGGAATTGAAGAACAATAGTTAACATAAAAATGTGGTAGGAATTTAAAAAACCCTTTATAAAAACTGAAGTTATTTTAAAGCATTCTGCATTATTCATACATTTTAAAATAGAATATGCATTAGAAACAGATACAATCAAAACACTATTTTCATCCGACCTTCTGATACCAGGAATTCACTAGCTAAAAAAACTCGTTATTATGTGACTACAACTATAATTATTCGTGCCTTGATATATATTATTATTCTAAACCTAGAAAAGGCGTCTGCTTATTATTTAGCGTTTGAGATGGATATAAACTGATATTCGCAAGGTCTAAAACAAGTGCCAACTTGGCACCGCGGATTAATTCCAATGTTAACGATCAAATAACAGTTAAGCAACAACTGCTACTTTTGGAACAGTGCTTGTTCAAATATTGTTACTATGTTAAAGATTACTAAATATATCTTTATCACGGATTCAATGTATGATAAATCATTTCTTTTACATAATATATTGACTTAGTTATTAGTAATTGTAAACCGAATTAGCATCATATAGAATTTTTCCCGTAGAAGCATGTCCAAAGATATTTTTAAATCATAACCGTGACCCGAGTAACCGTTATTAAAACGTTAGAAATAATCGATATATAATACCTATCGCATGTTCTTTAAGTTACTTATTATATTAAATTTTTTTTGTTACTTTGCAGTAGCGGATTCAGTATTATTTTTGAGGGTGAGGGCTATTTTGTATATTTATGTAATATATGAAACGATGTTGAAGTGGTTCTTACAAGGTTAGAAAACAAAGATAATTAAAACAACAATAATCCTT